TTGAAGAAGATCTTATCACGATTCAACATGCAAGATTGTAAGCCAATTTCTACCCTTCTTCATATTAACTTCAAATTATCCTCCAGTATGAGTACTAGCAATGAAGAAGAGAGGATGGAGATATCTCGAGTACCGTATGCATCTGCAGTGGGAAGTTTAATGTTCGATATGATATGCACAAGACCAGACATTGCACAAGCAGTGGGAGTAGTTAGTCGGTACATGGCGAATCCAGGCAAAGAGCATTGAAATACAATGAAGAGGATCCTGAGATACATCAAAGGAACCTCAAATATTGCATTATGTTATGGAGGATCAAACTTACTAATAAATGTTTATGTAGATTCTGACTATGCAGGGGATTTGGATAAAAGCAAATCTACTACAGGATATGTGTTCAAAGTTGCTGGTGGAGCTGTAAGCTGGGTTTCAAAATTGCAGTCAGTTGTGGCTACGTCTACAACAGAGGCAGAATATGTAGTAGCTACACAAGTCAGTAAAGAAACAATTTGGTTGAAGATGCTGTTGGAGGAGCTTGGGCACAATCAAGAGTATGTCTCTCTATTTTGTGACAGTCAAAGCGCCTTGCATCTAGCAAGGAATCCAGCATTTCATTCAAGGACAAAGCACATACGAGTTCAGTACCATTTCATTTGTGAAAAGGTGGAAGAATGGACAGTAGATATGCAGAAGATTCATACCAAAGACAACATAGCAGATTTCATGACAAATGCGATCAATGCTAATAAATTTACCTGGTGTCGATTCTCCTGTGGCCTGTCAGAGACGTAAGCAACATGATGGTACAAGGTAGAAAGAATGGTGTGAAGATATGATTGTTCCAATCAAATCTTCAAGTGGGAGATTGTTGAAAAGTCAAGACAAGTGGCCAAAATTGGTGGCCTAATTTTCCACCGAAAGGTGATTTGAAAATTAGAAATAATAATTCACCTAAAAATGTTGAAAAAAAAGGAATGGAAAAATTAATTTTAGTCATTAGACTTTAGGGTATTTACAAGATTAGTCCTTAAGCTTTAACTATAAATACCCTAGCTCATTTAGCTTCAAAACCATCCCAAAGCATTCTAGCTTTCTTCCAATACTAGAGAGATTTTAGAGATTTTCTTAAGAGTTGTTTTCTCCTTTTTATCTATAGAGAATTATCATTGTTTTCTCCTTGGTAAATCGAGAGAGGTTGTAATTCCTATTTTCTCATAGTGAAATTCTTCTACCGTTGCCCGTAGTTTTTACCCTAATTTTTTTAGGGGTTTTCCACGTAAATTTTGTGTCTCTTTTATCTTCATTTTTATTTTCTCAAATTATCAGTTGCGATTTTGCTCTATTTGATAGCCGTCTTCCGCAACAATTATTGGTCAACATTGTTTTTTAAGTCATAATTTTTATTAGTCTAAAAACAAAGTCGACACAGAAAAATTAGGCACTAAAGTTGAACAATAAATATATTTGAATATTAAATTGTGAATAAAGCTATGTTTACGTACAAAATAAAATTTTATTTAATAATTTTGTGCTATGCTCGTATAATACTAATTTTTAATGAAACATTTTATATAATTGAATAAATTTATTAAAAAAAAATCAATATGATTAGACATGAATTATAAATACAATTTCTTTAGTCATATGTTCAAAACACCTTTTAAGTGGCGACTTAAAGAACTCGTCTCGGAAAACTGAGTTAAAACCATTTCCCAACTCTAATCCAAAGGTAAGCATGATGTGTAAACAAGTCTAAATTCTATTTAACCTTAACCCTCAAATCCCCGCCGCGCAACAAGTACCCTAAATTTTCAACCTGTTTAGCCTCTCTAAGGTTCTAGTAACGCTCTATTTAGAGCAAATTACATTCAATATAAGGGAGTTTAAAAAAGATGAAGAACATTGAAAGAGGAACAAAAGCTAGGTAGGTTCCTCTACAGTTTGTATGAGGCCGGTGCATTGGTGCTTACAAGAAGCCGGACATAGACTTCCCCTTTTGCGGGACAAAACCTCATTTAATTCAGAGGGAAAGAAGACAGAAGAACGTAGTTTTCATTCATCGTACCACAGGAGGGATATATGTTAAGTAATAGTTGTGGTTGTTTTCCCACCTGTCCAGACAAGGGCAGAATTTAGGGTCCCTAGTTTTGAAAACGACGAGGCGATCAGATCAGCTTCGGCCCTAATATTTCTTCAAAATTAGGAGCTCCTTGTCTGCTACTATATTCTAATAAACAATCTAATCCACTGTATTGACCAATACTCAACATGAAATGCCGTACAAAAGGGCCATCGCATCGGGGCCCTCTTTAAATTCGGCCTTAAACTTAATCACTTTTTCCCATTCATTTATTTTTGGATGTTAATCAGTGCTTATAATTATTACTTTATGAAATAATTCCGTAAGATATCGTCAAACTATGATATCTATTTCGAATTAGTCCCTAAATTTTAAAATATTTTATATTAATCACAAAATTATGATCTCATTCAAAATCAATCTCTAAATATTATAGCATTTTATATCATTTCTAAACTATCAATATTATTCTATTTTGTTTCTTCCATTGACGCATCTTTAACTCTACAGATTAAAAGATTTAATATGTTTTTTGAAAGTATTGAGAGTTGAAATTTAGCATAAGAATCAAAATAAAATAATATTGATAATTTGAGAAATGACATATAATATTTAAAAATTTAAAATGTGAGTCATAATTTGAGGATCTATCTAAAATATTATAAATTTCATGGACAAATTTGAGAGGAGGGACATTTAAGAGCCTATGTTTAACTCTTATTTTATTATAGTAAAAGTGTTTTGTCAAAGCGGCTGCGGTTATACATTGAGACTAACTCCGCCGCCTGTCCCATTATTATTCATAATTATTATTTATTAATTAGGAATCTTAAGTTTTAATGGTAAAGTGGAAATGTAATCAATTCAACTTTTATTGAATTCAGTAAACGAAAATATTAACCGGGAGAGGAAAAATACAAACGCCATTTTTAATATCCATTAATTAAAATCCAGTAATTAGTGCCCACTAATTTCATGTGGCATAGAAGCGGTTTTTATTTCATGTGCCCATTAATGAAGTAATAAAAGTATTTAAAATTTAGATTAATTTAAAGTTATAACTACATAATATAATATAACAACAATTTTATAAGCCTTTTTTTTGGGTTTCATTCCTCTCTTTTCCATTAATCAATCAAACATGAAGTTGAAATTTGAAAACATAATGTTGTAAGTCAGAGTTTCAAATCGCGGTTGAGGTCATGTTTTCGATCGTTTCGAGTTTATCGTGATTGTGGTCGTTGCAGGCGTTATTACGGATGTAGCGAGTAACTCGAACGGCGACAAAACTTCTATTTTACGGACCGTGATTTGAAACCCTGTTGTAAGTCACATCAAAGATATCCTAGAGAATAATGACAATAAAACTATTATAATTTTTATTATTACTTTAATTTATTTCAACAATTAAGGAATAATGCGAATATAACTTCTTTATTTTGCATGCTCATTGTTCATGCATGTAGTCACTTACGTAGTTCTTAAAAGTAAACATAGTTTTGTTAAGAATATCTCATCGAAAGTGTTGACCAACTTCCTTCGAATGGAGTCCTAGTTTTTCTAAAAACAATTACTGAAAAAAAGTGTGTTTTTCGAGTTAAATAATAAAATGATTACCCAAAGAATTTTTGGAAGACGAGTCATCGACGAAAATAAAATACCCACACGAGGCAGGAAGGAAACATTTGACTCAAATTTTAGAAATAATATTCCTTTTTATAATATTTTTCCTTTCTCATAAAATTTGTCCACACTTTTTTTAACTTTAACTCATCAGTAGGATACTCATCACCATGAGCCTTTCCTTTGTATATTATCATAACATCCATATTGTAGATCTTACTAATCTATTTTTAATATTTTTATATCATTTAAAATTTTAAAAATGATAATAATTTTTTTAAAAATGTATTAAGTTTTTCATAATAAATAGTAATATTTATTATATTTGATATATATAATGATTTTCTTAAAAAAATTATATTAAATAAAGTATTTTATATAGGATCATTTAAATATAATAAATTACTATATATATATATATATATATAAATATCATTATTTTAAAATTTATCAGTAAAACAAACAAATTTAAATGAATGTTTGTAATTTTTTCTTTTCAACAATTTTTAGTTTAGAATAAACTTGCTTGTAATAATAGAAGGTTAAAGAAAATAAAATAAAAAGACATGGAAACTCAATCTAATTCCGTGCAGGGACGATAAGGAAAAGCTGATGCTGTGTCACTTGGGGAGAATAGGGAACGTAAGATGTACATGCAACGGCAGAGATTCAAACCTTTAGTTGAATAGATTCACTGAAACTGGAAGAGGACTGTAGAGAAATGCCCAGAGACATATTTTCTTGCATCTCTGTCTTTTCGTTTTCCACTATCTCTCTCTCATTCACTCACTTGCATCACTCAACAAAAACGGGATATTTATAGCAAGTTGTTGTTTTTGTTAGAATTGAAAACGGAGATGGAAGAACCAGCAAGTTTTTGTCATAAATGAGGAAAAGCGAGGTGCAGTCCTCATGGCGGCGTTGCAAGGGCAATAATTCCATTCATTATTGCTGGGAATTGAAGTGGGAGATAAAGTGGGAACCGTAGTCGTTTCTTTCTTTCTTTTTTTAACCCTAAAAGTTTTCTAATTGAAGGGGGGAAAACCCAAAGATCATTAAAGAAATTGAAACAGGCTCTTGTATTAAATTGTAGCCATTGAGGGTGAGGGTACATATATAGCAAGGATCGGTCAACTCCCCTACAAACACTCACAGACTAACAGTGGGCTTTAAAAACTGACCAGAAAAAGCTTCCACAGTTGAAACCCATAAAGACCCCAGGGAAAATCCAACCAGCTCACCACGCTGGTGATCTGGCGGTGGAGGGTGTGGGGACACTAAATAGGGCCTTCATGCTATGGATTTTGGGTCAAAATTGAGATTGGATTCAGCTTTTGGGTGCAACAAATGGCTGCTTCTTCTATCAAGGTGGGCGAGAAGGTTGAGATGCAGGACTTGTTGCAAAAGCCGAGGGTTTCAGTGCCCAACACACGTTAAGAGTACTTGGGTCCCTGCTGCAAAAAGGCGAGAGAGACAACAAGTCACAGATTTGCAACAAACACAGCAGCAGCAGCAAAATCAACAGCATGAACACCAACTACAGTTTCGAGGAGAGAATCCTAAAAGGCAGAGAGACAATCATGGTTCTTATTCTCTTGCCTGCACTCGTTTATTCCCCACGTCAGGTAAGTTGTACTAGTTTACAATATACAAAGATAAATCCAAAAGAAAGAAAAAGAACAGTCATCAATGCAAGATTTTGGATTCTTTGAAATGAAATCGTGTAAATTTCTATGCTGGAGAATTTTCAAAAACCGTGTATTGCAAACATAGCTCGAGAGAGTTTAATTTGGTTAGATGCCGAAGAATTCCAATTACTGCTAGCAATACTAGTGCCCCATCAAGATCGTATCATTTGCGTGTGAGCAAGTTCACCTCCGTTGTCACCCAACCAACTGCTTTTGCTTTTCTTCATTTTTCTCATCGTTTCTGCCACTGTTTGTTGGTGAAACTGGCGATAAAGTCCCTAAAAAATGGGGAGAAATTTCATTTATTTTGTTTTCATTTTATTAAGTTTGAATTTTTTAGCTAATAATTTATTGTTATTAGTATTATTTTCATCTTGTTCGGCTTTGAAAATTAGGGTTGGAAGTGGGCCAATTCCCTCCCGAAGTGAGTTCCTCAGCAGTGTTCCGTTGTGTAAAAGTAAGCGGCATGGAGGATGAAGAGGGGGAGATGGCTTATCAAACGGCTGTGAACATAGCAGGGCATGTATTCAAGGGAATTCTCTATGATAGGGGCCCTGAGAGTCGTTATACAAGTGGCGGAGAAAGCTCTCGATCATTGAACCTCATCACAGCTGCGTCTACCACCGCAGCAGCTGCTACAACGACAACAATCACTTCTAATACCATCGATCCGGGCACAAGTCTGCTTGACCCTTCTCTTTATCCACCTACACTTAATGCTTTCGTTGCTGGTACGCAATTCTTCCCACCTCCAAGGTCTTGATTTCTCGGTTCACACTGATCACCTCTATAGGAGTGGATACCTTCATTTTACCAACAACATCAAAAATGAAACTTCCATTGTCATTTGTTGTTATTATTTATTTTGTCAAATGTTATTTAACACCACCGAAGAACTAAACATTTGACTGAGAATATAACTTTTGAGGATGCTTAAGATACTGGGGGACGTTGGATATTGTGTTGGAATTTCATTCCAGATTTTATGTGCTTGATTTTGTTCGGATCGATGATTAGTTTTTTGTTTTTCGATTTGGGTGTAGTTAATCTAGCATGTTGATGTGTCCTTTTCTTCTTCTTCTTTGTAGTATTTCTTTATCCCTTTCTTTTTTGTGGGTTTGATTGATCTTGAATTTACTTTCTAGTTGGTGTTGAACTCGAAGCCGCTTTTTCCCGTTTATCCGTCTGCGTGTCGGATGGAAATGGGACGAGAAGGTTTCGTGTTCGGCTAAGCAAAGAATTCTAGTACTTTTTCCCTGTATTTTTTTATATTTTGTTAAAAAGAAAGCCCATGAACCAGCTTTACAAGTCTTTCATGCATTGGCAAATCCATTCCAAAAAGCAAAAACCATTTAAAATCTCATCATCCATCACCCCCCTCTCTTTCATTTTGAATGAGAAAGTTATTTTATTAAAAGTAAAAAAAATATTTTCTATGTAAGAAATATACTTGAAGTAGATTTATACTTTATAAATTTCTTTTGTAATTAAGTATGTATCCTTATAAGTAGATACTACGAGTTAAAATTATAAATCAAGTTTTCCATATTAAATGTTGGTATTCTTTCTTTTTCGATCGTTTTTCATTTGCTATTATTAAGATTTCATTGTAACAGAGAATGTACGTAGTTCTATACGTATATATATGAAATAACTTTCTTAGCCATTTCTAGTAGCTGCAGATCTCTGCAAATAAATGCATGCATTTGAATAGACATGCATGGACGTGACCCTCAGCTCGAACGGAAACCCTTGCTTATTATGCTAATAAGTACTAATGTTTCTCTGCACTTTGTGGATGTGATAATGTTGTATGTTTAGTCTGATGCTAATGATATAGGCTAAACTACGAATGTTTTCACGGATATCTAGAGAGATGCTTCTGTGTGTCTAGGCTTCTAGAATTATTGCATTCGGAATCAAGAAAAAAAAAGTTTGTGAAACTTTCTTAAGCTTTCTAGTTTATGGCTCAAAAATGTGCTCTGATCATCTTCATTCATGAACATGTTGCACCCGTAACTGGTGAAAGAAATCTCCTATCATTAAAGCACATCACCAGAATATTATACCACGGAAATATCTCCCAAACATTTTCATGTATAGCTGAATAAAAGGAGATTATTCAAATAAAGAAAATTACTATTACAATAAATTTCATAATTTATAAGTTTTCAAATATTTTACTTATTTTCAGTATATATCTTTTAAAAAAACCTCATTGGTATGGAGTGAACTTGTAAAGAAATGACACGTAAAATTAATATATATATATATATATATATATATATTAATAAAATAATTTTAATAACTTAGAATTTTACTATCTAAACTGTCAATAACCTATAGAACAAGTAGTAAAAAGCTCTTAGTTGACACCTCCACCTCCCTGTAGAGCAAGTCGATTGACCAAACTGCTCATATTTGTTTTTTATATATATTTTAGATCATTTAGTTATGATTAAAATTAGATTTAAAATTTATCAAAAAATTTCGAACACTATTTTAAAAGTAACTTATTGGTGGTATAACCAAAACAAATACAGACAGGTACTATGTATACTAGTTTATTTAATTTTCATCTGTCTGGCCATCATTTATTTTTGTAATTGATATTCATGAGAGCATATCAAAGAAGTCGTAATGAAATTTTTTGCAGGCTAAATTGACCATGCAAAGCATTATGAAAGGATGGCAGTCCAAAGTAAACAGTGTTTAAATTCATCTTAGAGGCAAAAGAAAAAAAAACATATTTTCTATGTTTCCTTTTTCTTTCTCCACTCCTCGTTTGAAAACCCCTCGTGCGTTTCACGCACAATGAAATAGTGATGAAAATAACAAAATTACTTAACCACATCACTAGAGAAATTATCAGTTAGGGTTGTTGAAACAGGCTGTTGTTTATAGAACATGAATTTAAAGCAGTAAATTTTTAAATGTATATTTTAGAAAGCACCGAAATTTACAGACAAAATCATGGGTACAGAATGAGAAAAGACTTGACGAGGGAATTATATTCATAAATCTCTAAAAGAGATTTTGCATGTGCGAGATCCAATGGGAAATTATAAAATTTCTATACTGATCCCAATGAATGACAGCAGTGCTTGTGGTCTTCAAACTGATCTCTTCTTGCAAATGACACACTGTCATAAGCTAGGGTCATCACAAGAATGTGTACCTAATTCTTGAATGGAAGCATGACTTTCCTGCACAACCCCCACAAAACGAGAAAAAGGAAACCAGCTGCATACTTTTGTAGGTCGAAATTTTAGTATAATAATTGTCTTTATTGTTTGAAATTTTAAAATTATTTTTTTAACTTTACGTGTTGAATTGCACGACAGAATCCTTACCGTGAACTTAAAAAGTTGGTCATTAAGCTTGTCAATCGGCTTCTCAAACCCATATAATATTCCAGCTTCAACATAACTGTGTTTCCTAGTTTACGTACACAGCAGGTAAGATCAACTGATGATCTGTCTTATTAATAAAGTAACAAAAAAAAGTCATAAGTCGCAAGATTTGGGACAATAATCAACTCGTACAAGACAATTGTTTGCTTTTTTTCACACTAATGGAGCTGTTGAGAGAGATCTGTGCTTACCATACTTGAGCCCTTTTGTTTAATTAAAATAATATTATTCTCAAAATTATTTTTTTAAATAATATTTTTAATAAAAACCATACTTGAGAGCGAAGTAAAATTAGGCCGATATAGCTGACCAACGCTAACCAAGTTTGGAGTAATCATTAACCATCACGAGGCCACACTGTTGCTATGTTTCTTACGGAACTTACCAAGTTATTGAATTGACAGTAGACAGTAGAAATAAGAGTGTTGGTCCCGATTTATCATTATCAAGTAAGGGGGGGGGGATTTTGAATAAGGCTAGGGCTTCCCACAATAGGCATTATAGGGTTGTGAATTTAGGTTGGACATCTCATTTACAAACGGCCTGCAAATCCACTGGAAGCCCCTTATGATATTCACAGCGTTTGCAAATTTGTGGTCCAATAACTGGATCCTTGTGATTTTGTTGTGAGTTGAAGAAGAAAAGGGATTTCAGAAGTTTATTCTTTCAAGATTTTTCATAGTTCATTTTTTACTAGGTTGATTCTTTTATACACGATAGAACTACTTTGGTTTTAACCGACGAAGGAACCGAACTGGATTAACAACCATCACTGCCTACTGGGCCACTCATACAATAGCCCAACCAAACAACTAGACTGCCCCACTCATACAAGTAGGTAAACGATGGCGTTACTCCATTCGAGAATGCGATGCATGATGGTTTTTGTTCGTCAGGTGCCGCGACTAATTCACAATTCCTCATATCAGTCATAGTCTTTGGGCGTATACTTCGATCTCAGGTTCAAATTTTACTAATTCGCTTGGATTTTTCTTGGTTATAAATCAAAACAAACAATATCAGTAATTTGCCGAAGTCCCTATCAATGGTGCCAATTTGACAAACATCACAATTATCAAGTAAATAAATCCAATTCTTAATTTAAATAAATAAAATAAAAGTAAAAATAGTATAAAGAAATAGGGTTGATCCATAGGGACTAAAATTTCAAATTAAATATGATTTGACCTCTAACCAGAAAATATGAAAATAAAATAAAATGGGTTTATATAATTTAATAAACTAAAATTAAATAAAAATAACAAAATAAAATAATTGAAATATAATGGTAGGAGATGTCCTCTAGCTTCACTTTAACTCGACTCATCTCGATCCTTGAAATAAATTTTACTTCGGGATTCTTGTCGGTTACAGTTTACAAGGCCCAACCATTATAACTTGCTCTTCTCTCATGTGAACTAATTTCCAAAGTAAATTCTTAGAATTTAATTCTTGTTTGAATTTAACTTCGAATATTGATGTTAACGTCAATATCTTCTTTAATGCAGAAAAAGCTTGTGCTCGAATTATGCATCTCAATGAGAATCTAACCCGGTCTTGATTTCCCTTAGCAAACCACCGCTAATTTTGTTCTTAGGGATTTGAGTTTGCTAATACTTGATTATCCCCCGCAACGGTAAATCAAAACCACATTCAAGCCAATGTGCAAATTTTGAATTGAAAGTGTAAAGAATTTAAAAACTAAGTCGATTACCTAACCTTGTTTGCCGAAAATCAAGAAAGATACTTGAAGATATGAAGCACTTTTCAATTCTCACGAAACAGATTGAGTAATCACTCAGCTATCGGCTAAAAGAGATTTAGCTAAGTTTGGATTGGATCGTGCTTAACATTGTGAAAAGAAAATAATGAAAGGAAATTAAAAAGATGAAAGAAAAATAGAACTTCAATAAATAGCCAAAAAATAAATTCCAATTTGAGTTTAAAGGTTGAACCTAAGGGGTATTTATAACCTAAAAGTTAAGTAAATAAAATAACTAATTCCAAATGAAACTAAAAATCATACCAAGAGTTCTAATAAAACAGCTAATTCCTAAATAAAATAATAAAATAAACAAACTAAAAATCCTAAATAAAAAGGTTTATCACAAAAAATTAAAATAAATATTTAATTCTTGTACTTCTGGTTGAATTCTGTTTCATCTTATGAATAACCTTATGCCAAGTAAATTCCAATTAAATATTAAAGATGTTGATTGGACCATCGAAACCTGCTACTTTTTGGGCTAATTAATCCAATAAAGCTCATGTCCAAAATAAACCAAAAATAAAGATAAATCAGTAATATCCAATCGAAAAATAAGGAGTAAATAATAATAAATATATGCAATATAAAACACTCATCAACCCACACTTTTCCTTTAAATCTCAAAACACTTTGCTGATAATCCAATGCTAAGATTGAGGATTTACTGTAATAGCTGTAATAATCTTTTGAGCTAATTCATCATCCAAGTAACTTGCTTCAATATCCTGGACCCACTGAGGTACAATAGCCATTGCTGAAATTTGGAGCAGTATGCTTCCCTTTTCTGTATTGTATTACATAGTCAAGTCTCAAAAGTTTAATTAATTTTTTCTTTTGGATTACAGTAGTTAATTTTTGCTCCAATAGATGTGTAAGGTGTTCATGATCAGTTTTGATGACAAAGGGTCTGCCCTCCAAGTAGTGTCTACATTTTGTGACCGCTAGTAAAATTGCCAAGTAT